TGTGGCTCAGACCTCTCATGCATGAGGCCTGAGGTTCAGTCTCTAGCACAGCCAAACAAGCAAACCAAAATAAAACAAAACATTTGATTGTAAATCTGTATTCACCTAATGCTCAAACACTTAATAAAACACGAGACCTAAATGGAAAGTAAGGCTCTGACATAATAACAGTGGAGGACTTCAATACCCCATTTTCATCAATGGATAAATCATGTAGTGAAAAATTCAACAAAGAAATATCACTTAAATTATGCTACAAGTCAAATGGACCTACAGAATATTGCAGCTAATAACTGCAGAATACATATTCTTATCAGCACATGGAACTTGATGTCAAGAATAGACCACAAGTCTTAAAAATTAAAAGAAAATAACTGAAATCATATCCTGTAACATTTCTTACTACAATGGAATAAAATTATAAGTCAAGGACAAAAGAAACTCTAGAAACAAATTTCTAAGAGCTTCATTGATCTTTTCTATTTTTTAGTATGGTATTTCTGCTCTAATCTTTGTTACTTCTTTCTTCTATCAGTTTGAGAATTGGTCTGTTTTTGCTTTTCTAAGACTGTGAGATGCAGGAGACTAGCACTTTTTTCTTTTTGTATTTTTAGTGCAAGGCGGGATCTACAAGGTCTCACTACACAGATTGGACTTGTAGCGATTCTCCTGTTTTCAGCTTCCCAAGCACTGGGATTACAGGTGAGCGCCACCAAGCCCAGTCTCAATTGCTGTCTTAGTACACCCTGGGGGTGAGGCCAGCAAGGCAGGCTGGGAATCCAACCTCTGACTCCTGCATCTGCCTAAGCAGATGCTTTAATCTACTGAGCTATCTGGCCAGCCCTAAATAACACGTTTTTGAAAAAAAAAATTAACTGAGGAAGTTAAAAGGAAAATTAAAAATTTTCTCAAAAGAAATGAAAATGGAAACACCTTACTAAACCTTGTGAGATACAACAAAGAGTACTGACAGAGAAATTTATATCAGAGAGTGCCTAACAAGTAGATTTAAAATAATCTAACAATGCATTTCAAGGAGAAAAGCAAAAATAAACCAAATCCCAAATTAATGGAAGAAAAGAAGTAGCAAAGATTAGAGCAAAAATATCGATTAAAAAAATAGAAAAGATCAATGAAACACTTTGAAAAAATAAAACCAATAATACATGGGTTAGCAATACTGAGAAAAAAAAAAGACTCAAAATTAGAAATTAAAGAGGAAACAATAAAACCAGTACCACAAAAATGTAAAGATCATATCATTGGGGACTATTAGGAAAAGCTATATGCTAACAAACTGGAAAACACAGAATAAATGAAAAATTCCAGGATACACATTAACTACCACAGTAACTATAAAGAAGGGCTGGCTAAATAGCTCAGCAGATTAAAGCACCTGCAAGCAGGCGCAGGGGACAGGGGTGCGATCCCCAGGCCTGCCGTGCTGGCCTCACCCTCGGGGCATGCTGAGATGGCAACTGAGACTGGAAGTGGTGGCACGCCTGTAATTCCAGCTCTTAGGAGGCTGTAAACAGGGGATCACTATGAGTACAACCTAGTAGGGAGACCCTGAATACACTGTAGACCTTTCCATAAATACAAAATAAACAAAGCAAAACAAAAAGCTACAAAGAAATAAAAAACCTGAATAGAATAATAAAGTACTGAGGTTGAACCAATAATGGGAAGTCTACTAACAACAAAAAGCCCAGAATCAGATGGAATCACCACAAAACTTTACAAAATTTAAAAAAGAAAAACTGTGTGTCAATTCTTTTCAAAGTATTTGTCAGAATTGAAAGGATTTATTCTATGAGGCTAGCATTACCTTGTTAACAAAACTAGACAAGAATACATACAAAAATGAAAACTGAATACTAAGATGAACATGGAGGCAAAAATTCTCAACAACATTCTAGCAAATCAAATTCAACAGCACATCAAAAATGTCACTTTCCATGATCAAGTTGGTTTCATCAAAGGATGCAAGGATGGTTGAAGATACACAAATTGGCATAACACATTACATCAATCAAATGAAAGATAAAAATCGTATGATCTCAGTAGATGCAGAAAAGCATCTTATAAAATCGTGATTAACTCAGTAGCTACAAAAAAAGTATGTGATAAAATTCACCATCTTCCTAATAAAATTCTTGTGCAGAATAGGTATAGAAGGATGATATCTTGAATAACAAAGTATATTTATGATAAATGCACAGTCACCATTATACTGAATGAAAGGGAAATCTACAAGTATTTAATTAATTTTGTATTTCAGGGAAGGTATACAGGGTGTTCAGGGTCTCACTACTAGATCAGACTTGTAGTGATCTGCCTGTTTACAGCCTCCCAAGAGCTAGGATTACAGGTGTGCACCATCATGCCCAGTCTCAAATGCCCTCTCAGCACGCCCTGGGGGTGGGGCCAGTGCAGCAAGCCCAGGGATCGAACCCTTGGCCCCTGTGCTTGCCTGCAGGTGCTTTAATCCACTAAGCTATTTGGTCAGCCCTTAGGAGTATTTTTTTCTAAGATGAAGAGCAAGATAAGAATATTATTCTGACCACTAATTGGCTAATGAGGGGTTGGGGAGATGGTTCCGCAGTCAAAGTGCCTGCCAGGCAAGCAGAAGGACCTGGGTTCAATCTCCAGTACCACATGCCATGTGCATGGTAGAGCACACTTCTAATCTCAGTGCTGGGGCGGCTGAGATAGGAGGATCCTTAGAAGTCCAAGCTGTGTATCAAGGTCTTGTACCAAACAAACAAACAAAATATTAAAGATAAATAATTGGCTAATGAGAATTCCTTATAGCATGGCAAAATCAGTATATT